AGCTTCCGAGACAGGATGCTGTTTATTAGCCAATCTTCCTTAATAAAGAAGATGCTAAAAAAATTCATTGAAAGCCACCAGCATTTCCAAAACATATGTATTTTTACATATACAATATAAGGCAAGATTATCATGGTACATATACTGCTATGTTACTAAACAAATGCAAACATATCTTTCCAACAACAGCCGATCACTCCTCACATCATCACTTTTGCTGCTTTTTCACAACAATTATACACGTGTTAATTATGGAACATGTAAAACAACAAATATAGAGTGCCGTTTTAATGGCTACAATGGCTGACAGCTGTAAATCGTCCGATTCTATTCCTTCATTTTCTGTCTCCCACCCTTGAACCTTCAATCTTTTTCAATCAAAGATTTTTAGGTTTAAACCATTTAATATTTGTATCCATAAATATTTTAATACAATTATATTTAATGAAGGGCTCTGAGTTATCTTTCAGATGTCTGTAATTTGATTTGATTTGATTCAAGAACCGACATCACAGCACTCGGGGCATTCCCATAAGCGCTCCGTCCCCGTCTTCAGCAGCCAGCGAAGAGTTCCGATACAAGTGGTGCCACAAGCATTCTGATTAAACGTCCGTCTGGCCTTTCCACTGAGCCTCGAGCATCTGCCAGAACCTCTCGTCACCCCCAGCTGCACCAATCTCACTAAACTGTGGTGACATATCTGCTCCTCCGAACTGTACAAGCTCAGATAACTATAAATAAATAGCATGCATATCCTCTTTGACAGCGAACACGGAGTCATTTTCATAAAGATAAAAGACCAAAGTCTGAAACAAATGCAAGAATTTCAATACTGGGGGAAGCATCTTTATATACAATGATAGACGAGACAGGGAAATAGAAACAAAAAATCTAGCAAATCAACCACGTTACATATCAACTGACCTCAATCCTGCAACACCGTCTTTTCCAACTGCGATAAAAAGACAAATTATATTTGCAGTGCAGTCATTATTCCAACTTTATGTTACCAATGTCCGAGGTGGACCACAGAATGCAAAAGAAAATTACCCATCTGCGAAGTGAGATGCTTGAGAAAGACTGTGAAAACCCATAAGAACTAGTTGTACAGAATGCAGAGATTGGAAGAAATATTGAAACATTTTACACTGAGAAACAATTGAAATGGATTTACCACCCAGTGAGAATGCCTACGACGGTGCTAGCAACGAGAGTGTAGAGCATGAAAACGGAAATACCAAGAGGCAGAGGGAAACAAAGAAGAAGATATATCAAAGGAGTCCACAACACCGCAAGACTTCACAACATCAACAGGATACTAAACAATCAAGCGCGCCCTGGCACAGAGACCCTTCATCTGTTAAACTGCGATAGACAACTAGGGACATAAAGCAAATACTGACAACAAAAAAAGAATGAAACATATATTCAACACTTTCCAGTCTGAAATGGTGGGCGCAGTCCCTGTTGAGATACAACCGATTAAAGGAGCCTTTATAAGAATTTGATAAAGACTTAGGTGGGGCATGCCACAAAAAAGGTTGGGAAACTCTGCTTTAGCTGCTGGCTGATTTTGTTCTGACTAGAAGACCAAACCATTTGATTATTTGAGGTTCTAAGAAAATCATTTACCGGTACTGTGCCTTCTACTGTTCTTAGTTCTTCTTTGCTGACTTAGGTGACTTAGGTGGGGCATGCCACAGAAAGGTTGGGAACCACTGCTCTAGTTGCTGGCTGATTTTGTTCTGACTAGAAGACCAAACCATTTGATTATTTGAGGTTCTAAGAAAATCATTTACCGGTACTGTGCCTTCTACTGTTCTTAGTTCTTCTTTGCTGACTTAGGTGACTTAGGTGGGGCATGCCACAGAAAGGTTGGGAACCACTGCTCTAGTTGCTGGCTGATTTTGTTCTGATCAGAAGCCCAAACAATTTTTTATTTTTTTTATTTTAGTTTAAAAGAAAATTATTTACCGGTACTGTGCCTTCCATTGTTCCTAGTTCTTCTTTGCTGCCTCTGTCTCTTCTTGTATGCTTTTTCCCCCCAGCAGCATTTCTGACACATCATCATCATCATCATTATCAGGTGCCTTGCCGACTGGCGTGTGCGATCATGACTCTCGATAATCCACGATCTCCTGCCGCATGTATGTTCTGACACATCTCATCTAATTAGGTTAGTAATGAAAGTAGAATACAAATAATTATGTCAATAGCAGGGACTGAACATGGCCCTCTGTCGTGGCAGAACAGCGCACTAACGAATTCCTCTAGCTCTTGTTTTTGAAATCATACAACTACATCCCTGTATATTGTAAGTGCACTTTTTCGTAACGACTGGCCCTCATTGATGGAACTAGAGCAAAGGTAAAGGAAAGAGATACATACTCTATTGGGTCAGCGGTATGGATGGCGAGAGACAAGATCACTGATTCTTAATTACGGTGATTGTGTGAGACAGCTAAACATAAAATTTAAGCTCATCGACATGGAACATGATGACGATGACGCACTAGCTCGGCCCATGATGATGATGACGCGCTTTACATTTTAGAACATATATCGTTTAAAAACTTAACATCAGTTTTCCATCAGCACACAGCTGTGTTGGTACACAGCTTTGGCTTAACTTTTGTGTAAATCTGTCAGCATTTAATCCAGTATAATCCCCTTGTGGGTTCCAGGGCCCTATTGTAGCGAAAACAAGAATAGACCCACTGCCTACCCAAAAGCATGTCGTAAAAGTCGACTAATTGGGAGCTTCCTTCAATGTCGGATTGCATCTGCCCGAGAGGCAAGTAACCAGCAGTCTGCATACAAATGAGTCAGATCTGTAAAACGGATGCATACGCAACACTTACTTTCTGGAACACGACTGTAGTCCAGAAGTGGATGAACAACCAGAACTTTCCCCCAGAGTTGACAGCTGGTAAACGCGAAGAAAGAGAAGAAGGACGTAGAGCACAGGGTAGAGCAAGAACAAGATGGAAGGATAACATCAGAGAAACTCTACAACAGCACGATGTGCCTATGGTCGAGGCAGCCAGAAGAGCTAGAAACAGAACCTTATATCTCCCTCGACACCCACAGCGGTAAAAGAGGAAGTGAAGAAGAAGAGGAAGAAGAAGAAGAAACGCGAAAAAGAAGAATCCAGTATTTAAAAAAAAACGTAATGCCATTTGTGTTTATTTTTCTTAAGGTTACTGAAATGGCAGTCAGTTAGTGAATGTGTAATTTTCATTGTAATAAAGATTTGGTAAATTTTTTTCTCCTCAGATTATCAACTGCCAAGCATTTAACGAGTATGTCATGTTTTATTATGATTTGTATTCAGTAAATGAAATAATCTTTGTCTTGAAGTTACTAAACTGACAAGTATTTAATGAATATGTGATGTTGTAAGATAAGTATTTGATTTATGAAATTATCTAGTTTTTTTTTAGAAGTTGCTAAAATGTCAAGCAATTAATGAATATATATAGTGTCTTATGATAAGTATTTAATTAATGAAATTATCTTTTGTCTTGAAGTTACGAAACTGCCAAGTATTTTATGAATATGTAATGTTGTATGATAAGTATTTGATCACTGAAAATATCTATTTCTTTAAGAAGTTGTTAAAATGTCAAGCAATAAGTGAAAATATTTATAATGTCTTATGATAAGTATTTCATTAATAAAATTATCCTTGTTTCAAGAAGCTACTGAAATACCAAGCAATTAACGAATATGTAATGAGGTATGATAAATTTCGTTAAAGAAAAGGCATTTTTCTTGAAGTAACTAAAGTCGTCAAGCAGTAACTAATGTGAAATGCTTTGTTTTAATATTTAGTTAAAAAAACCCTCGAAGAACAAATCAGACTTGGTTCCTACCTAATTGGTAACCTACAATACATAATTGCACTTGCAAAATTTCAACATTTATCACGTGTTTGTCATTCCCGAAATTGCACTATTTTATTTATACCCAGTTTGGTTGTTTCAAATCGCATTGCAACCAAGGGCACCCATTCTGAAAAATCACAGGATCGTCTGAAAATTCGCTTGTTTCAGGGTGTAGAATTAATATTAATAATGACGATTAAAAAAAAATAATAATAACAAAAATAATATGAGCGGCAAAAAAATAATTCCATTATTCAAAAAAAAATATTTTAAAAATCCAATAAACACAAACAACAAATTTAAAAACATCTTCTATGCATGGCTGGGGAGTTGCTTAATCCCTGGGCACATTTTCAAGGGTTCTTTGAAGGAAAGGGGGTTTAAGCGACCTAACCCCTTCCCCCCCCCCTCCAAATTTCGGTGCCCTTAGTTGCAGCTGTTAAACTAATTTATACCGGTGAGGTGCCCGGCTCGCTAGCGTAGCTGGTTAAACCAGACTTCGCAGCGACCGGGTGACGAACTCCTTGTGGTCTGGGTTCACACCCGGGGGTAGGAAGAAAAGCCACATTTCTCACAGATTTACGGTATCTATCATGAAATCAAGGCCGAAGGGGTTGCGATATCCATAGTACCGAGCCAAAGGGTTAACAACTCATGGTTTCTAGATACTTTAAAAAAAAATTCCTGGCAAGGTAAATGTAAATGTTGTGAATTACATAGCGCCAGTTTTCCACAGTCAACCTGGAAGTGGTTACAGCCGCATCGTTTGAATGTTTCCATAGTAACATGCTTTGGTTATCGTGTCATTTCAATGATTTGAGATAAATTCTGTCCGTAGTCCACAGCTGTGGATTTCAAACTGTACGACAGACATGGCCAATGAGGACACCCCCCTTTTTTTAAGGGATGCCTAGCTGGTAATGTTTTTAGTACACTTGTTTCCATGACGAGGCGCACACGCCATCTGAAGATGACAGATTCGAATCCTGCTGCGGTAACTGAAACTTTTGATTTTATGATGTCTAGTGTGTCTTCTATCTGTCTACTTCTTTCTATAAGTGCCAGTCAATACACTGTCTGTTCATTTATCATATATATATATATTTATATATATCACATGATCATTGTTTCTTTCATGACGTGGGTGATATACCGAAACAGATCCGCCCAGGCTTGTTCAACTTCCGGCGTCCACTTGTCGCCCATTGCTGGCTGGATGGCACTGTTGAACTGAGGACCAACAAGCTGCCAAGGAAAAAAATACAACGATGTGAGTTTTAGTAACAGCAATTATTTAGTGAAGTTGTGCATTATTGTATAACGCTGAAATAAATCTTCGGAATTCTTGAGGCCAATGAAGCACTATGATAAACAACAGAGTAACAGACAGACCGACAAACACACAGACAGGCATACATGCGACAAACATACATACAAAGGTACAGAAAGCTAGCCAGACAGCCCGATAGATAGATTGAAAACAAGGTAGAGATAAAAATAGAGACAGAGAGAGATAGAAATAGAGACAGACAGACAGACAGACAGACAGACAGACAGACAGACAGACAGACAGACAGACAGACAGACAGACAGACAGACAGACAGACAGACAGACATGACAGACAGACAGACAGACAGACAGACAGACAGACAGACAGACAGACAGACAGACAGACAGACAGACAGACAGACAGACAGACAGACAGACAGACAGACAGACAGACACATAAATATATAGTTAGACAGACAGACTGACGAGACATATAGACAGACAGGCAAACAGAAAAGCAGTCAGACAGATTTTGTCGTTGTTTTTTTATTTTACTACCACGATAAATATTAGTCTTTTTGTTTGTTTGCTGGTTTGCTGTTTGTATTTTGGTTTTATGCAATTGCTCAGTACAAATACCATTTGCATAAGAGACACATAAACAAAACAAAAATCAAATTCACAGAGGAACACAGCCCCAAACCGTTCCCTCCACACACGCGCACGCACACACATACATACACAAACACACGCATACACACACACGCGCACACACACACACACACACACACACACGCACGCACACACACACACACATAAACGCGCAAACACACGCACACAAACACACATACACACGCGCGCATACACACACATACATACACACATACACACACACATACACACACACATACACACACACACACGCACACACACACACACACACTAAGAAGCCATTCAGTGATTGTTGAGACACGAAGTTGTGGACAGACAGGCATCTGCAGGAGGTGATAAAGTGCACCGTGAGATCAGCATGGGGTCGGGAAGTGCCCTTTTCCAACCCGTCCATCCCCTGCTCCTCATGCTTGCTGACACAAACACGCACAGCAATGACAGATGTGTAAAACGATTGTGTTCTTTTTTAGACTGTGTTTGAATATTCCAATTTCCCATTGTCAAATGCCAAATATGGTGGTTGTTCCTGTCGAGCAGATTGCGTGAAGTGTTTTTGAGATGCCATCCTTTAGTGCTGTGATGTGGCTAGGAACATTGCTGCCTATATAATGGTCTTGAGTTCAAATCCATAGTAGGGGCAGATTTTTTACAATTTTACAATATAAAAAAAAAGGTCCCTTGCATTCCAGTCGCGCATCAGAACCCGAAAAGACACACTGAAATATACCAGATACTTTGTTTGTGTCCATATTATTTAAATTTTCAACCGAAAAGCACTATTTCGAATAATTAGGTTGCTGGTTATGGCGTAAATATAATTAATGTTGAAATACATTACTTTTTTAATTAAAAAGTATTTATCCTGGGCTAATGAAGAAGAAGAAGAAGAAGAAGAAGAAGAAGAAGAAGAAGAAGAAGAAGAAGAAGAAGAAGAAGAAGAAGAAGAAGAAGAAGAAGAAGAAGAAGAAGAAGAAGAAGAAGAAGAAGAAGAAGAAGAAGAAGAAGAACAAGAACAAGGAGAAGAAGAAGAAGAAGAAGAAGAAGAAGAAGAAGAAGAAGAAGAAGAAGAAGAAGAAGAAGAAGAAGAAGAAGAAGAAGAAGAAGAAGAAGAAGAAGGAGGAGGAGGAGGAGGAGGAGAAGTAGACGGAGGGAAAAGGGAAGCAATGGGAGGAGGAGAAAAAGGAAAATGAACAAACATCTAGCGAAGCTGGGAAACCCCGAGCACAAACTACAACCATAAGTGTGTATAGTGTATTAGGCTATTGGTTTTTGTGTGTAAAAAAGGGGGGGGGGGGTGGAGAAAAAGAGTGGGGGGTGTGGGTGTGGGCTCAACTGCTTGCCAAATTGGATCTTTATGACATTGCCTGGAAGTCACAACTGGTATTGAATAATGTAAGTAGCTTGATACGGTAGTGGGGAAAATATAATTGTCATGCGTGCACTTTATGCAAGCGGCACGGTAAAATGTTAATCGATATCCACAAATTATCAAGACTCTCTCTCTCTCTCTCTCTCTCTCTCTCTCTCTCTCTCTGTCTTTCTTTCTCTCTCTCTGTCTGTCTTTCTCTCTATCGCTCTCTCTCTCCTTCTTTCTCTCTCGCTCTTTAAGTCGACTGAAGTTGCAAAATTGTGTCGTTTTTGTAGTACCTTCCCCCTCACTCTCTCTCTCTCTCTCTCTCTCTCTCTCTCTCTCTCTCTCTCTCTCTCTCTCTCTCTCTCTCTCTCTCTCTCTCAATTTATTAAAGTTTATTATTGCCTCAGAAAGACGTCGTTTTTGAACAGCTGCTCCCCTATCTTCCTCCTCTTCCACCCGTCCCCTCCCTTTCTCCAAATCTGTAGCTCTCTCATAATAATGCAGTTTTGCCATCTGTATTACTTTCCCCTCACACCCCCTTTTTCTCTCTGGTCGTCTTCCAGTTAACTCTTTTGGTACCAGACTGTGATTACTAAAAACAAGCGCCCCCCCCCCCCCCCCCCCCCTCGTGTGCACCAGTATGCAGTACCAACACCTTTTATATGCCATTTTCTTCCAGCGCTATAATAATGTATACGTGGAGAGTGCCGTCACTTTTTAAGACACTTTGTGGTAAGTACTTACACCTTTTAAAGACACTTTGTGGTGAGTATTTGCACCTTTTAAAGACACGTTGTAGTGAGTACTTGCACCTTTTTAAGACACTTTTTGCTGAGTTTTGCACCTAATAAAGACACTTTGTAGGGAGTACTTGAACCTTTTTAAGACACTTTTTGCTGAGTTTTGCACCTAATAAAGACACTTTGGGGTGAGTACTTGCACCTTTTAAAGACACTCAGTGGTGAGTACTTGCACTTTTCAAAGACACTATGTGGTGAGTTTTGCACCTTATGAAGATACTTTGGGGTGAGTACTTGCACCTTTTAAAGACACTTTGTAGTGAGTACTTGCACCATTTTAAGATACTTTGTAGTGAGTACTTGCACCTTTTTAAGATACTTTGTAGTGAGTTCTTGCACCTTTTTAAAACACTGTGTGGTAACTTTTGCACCTTATAAAGACACTTTGGGGTGAGTACTTGCACTTTTAAAGACACTTTATGGTGAGCACTTAAACCTTATAAAGACACTTTGTGGTGAGTACTTGCACTTGTTAAAGACACTTTGTTGTAAGTACTTGCACCTTTTAAAAACACTTTGTAGTGAGTACTTGCACCTTTTTAGGACACTTTATGGTGAGTACTTGCACCTTATAAAGACTCTTTGTGGTGAGTACTTGCACTTTTTTAAGACACTTTGTTGTAAGTGCTTGCACCTTTTAAAAACACTTTGTAGTTAGTACTTGCACCTTTTTAGGACACTTTGTAGTTAGTACTTGAACGTTTTAAAGACACTTTGTGGTGAGTTTTGCACCTTTTAAAGACACATGGGGGTGAGTACTTGCACTTTTTGAAGATACTTTGTAGTGAATACTTGCACTTTTTTAAGACACTTTGTGGTGAGTACTTGCACCTTATAAAACACTTTGCAGTGAGTACTTGCTCCTTTTAAAGACACTTTGTGGTGAGTACTTGCACTTTTTAAAGACACTTTGTAGTGAGTACTTGCACCTTATAAAGACACTTTGTAGTGAGTACTTGCACCTTATAAAGACACTTTGTAGTGAGTACTTGCACCTTATAAAGACACTTTGTAGTGAGTACTTGCATCTTATAAAAACACTTTGTAGTGAGTACTTGCACCTTATAAAGACACTTTGTAGTGAGTACTTGCACCTTATAAAGACACTTTGCAGTGAGTACTTGCACCTTATAAAGACACTTTGTAGTGAGTACTTGCATTTTATAAAAACACTTTGTAGTGAGTACTTGCATCTTATAAAGTCGCTTTGTAGTGAGTACTTGCACCTTATAAAGACACTCTGCAGTGAGTACTTGCACCTTATAAAGACACTTTGCAGTGAGTACTTTCACCTTATAAAGACACTTTGTAGTGAGTACTTTCACCTTATAAAGACACTTTGTAGTGAGTACTTGCACCTTATAAAGACACTTTGTGGTGAGTACTTGCACCTTATAAAAACACTTTGTAGTGAGTACCAGCTACTTTTTTTTTCAGTAAGAAAGTCCTGCTGAAGAGTCTTTCTATTTCGAATGTACTGTGTTCAACAAACTAATCTAAAAATGTTATAATTGTGACAGGATAGGGCAAAATATGTAAAACTAACAAAATTATGTTTATTGTAATGTAAAAACTATCTCTGATAAAATAAATGATAAATCTGCAGTTTTCTGTGGTATCCAATAAAGACATGAGTTGCATAGTACCAACAGAATTAATTTATAACTCTCTCTCTCTCTTCTCTCATTCTCTCTCTCTCTCTTTCTCATTCTCATTCTCTCTCTTTCTCTCTCTCTCTCTCTCTCTCTCTCTCTCTCTCTCTCTCTCTCAGTCCCTATTTCTCTCCAAATAGACTGTTTTGCGGAGTAGTAACGTTTCTCATACACTATCACAATCTTTCTTACGGTGTTTGTGTGCCTGAGTGAATGAGTGAACGAGTATGAATGTGTTAGCGATTACTACTGTGTATGAGAGTGTCCCGTTGTCACAACTCTGAGGATTGCACTATCTGAAGAAAACAAAAGCGTTGATTCCTGTCACTTCATTAGAGCTTGTATTTAGCACTTGTGGGTTCCGGGGTCCCATTTGGTGTTGGGGGGGGGGGTAAACCTAAAGACCCCACCCCCCCCCCATCAAGCGTAGCAAAAAGCGAATAATTACAGAAGTCTCTGAGTCTTGCTGAAAAACCACCATCTGCATAAAAATATAA